ATGCTGCTTGGCCTGCTGTGTTCATCCAGCCCTGCACCTTGTTGTCTCGGATTCTCCAGCATCTGCAGTTCCTACTATCTCTAAAGTTACAACAGACTCTGAGAAGTATTGTAACAATGAAGGGGATCGGGCAGGGTTAGGAACAATCCTGGTAATGTTAAAATCTTATTATTACTTGTTCCTTAATTAAGTTGCAATACCAAATTGTGCCTGTAGTGAATTGAGCATTCCAGCATTGTGGAATACTGGGTAAGTTCATTTCTAACCTATTGGTGAAAGTGTCAGGTGGGACCTGAAGGTCTTGGACGGCAATAGACAGGAGATGAATGAAACAAAGTTCTGGCTCACACCATTAAAATTATTCTCTGATTGCTATTAGACCTGATCATTGGATTCTCACCAGGGTGAAGGGGAGGATTACCAGGATTGTTTGAAGAAGGCTTAACACTGGATCCACAGTGGTGCCAAACTTTCAGAAAGGAATTTGATGACATCAGCCCACTTTCTTGGAAGAGGAAGCTGATGACATTTGATTCTGTTCCAACTGCTTTTGCTGTTGATAAAAATCCTTGACATGCAACAAAGGCACTCTGCATTTCTGTGGAGGTACGGGAATGGTTTGATCTGGAGAGTACGATGTACCCCTGACGTCCCAAAGAGCTGACCTGGGCACCATCAGAGGTAGCTGTAAAGAAAGAACATTTAGTAAATGTGTGAAACATTCCTGAGCTTGAGACGAGAGCCGATAAGGTAATGCATAATGAGGAAATTGGTTCTGCTGTTTTGAGGGATTTTCCTTAAGCAATTGGCTCAGGGAAATTATTACACACTCCTGGAGCAGGTGGGACTTAAACCTGGGTCTCCAGATTCAGGGGTATGAGCCTCCGCACCACAAGAACCACCCTTTGGTGCTTATGGATTTACTGTACAATACTGTACTCTGCAGCTTTATCAAGTGTCATTAATCACGGTAGATCCACTGTAGAGGTTTCTAAATTGGCATCTGCTCACCTTAGAGGAACTAACAGTAGATTGCCACGATTAGCAGGCTGTTTGTGGAGTAATACATGAAATATCATGCAAGGAGCTTAACGCACCTGCAACTGCCTGGAGTGAGCTAGCGAGACGGCTGGGTTGCGATGCAGAGTCAGAGCTTGGGTTCAATTCCTGCACTTTCTGAGGTTATCTTGCAGGATTCTCCCAAGATACGGGGACCATCAGGTTAAACTCATAATCAGTCATCTCCCTCTCTTTCTAACGGGAGAGTGGGACGATAGCAAGCTCTTTTTTCCCAAGTGGGACTGCAATCGGGGTGCTGTTATGAGTTGGAAAATTGATAAAGTGATTCCGAATGCAGTGTCGGACTTTTCTCAGTGGGTTCTGTTGTTACTTTTGATTCAGAATTTCCAACTGGAATTCCCAGCCCAGATACTGGGCATGCTGAGGGTGTGCCACACAGCGGGCAGTCCCTCCGCTCAGTGCAACCAAATAGCTGGAATCATAGACCCCGTAATATCCCCTACATAGTGTGGAAGCAGGCCATTCAGCCCATCGAGTCCACATCGAGCATCCCATCCAGACCCAGCCTCTGCCCCGTGACCCTGCGTTTCCCACCCTAACCTGCGCATTTTTGGACTGTGGGAGGAAAGTGGAGCACCCAGAGGAAACCCACGCAGACACAGGGGGAACATGCAAACTCCACACAGACAGTTGCCCGAGGCTAGGGTTGAACCCAGGACATTCCTGGAGCCATGAGGCAGCATTGCTAACTGGTGTGCCACCCGATCTCACAGTGCCAGTTCAGAGGAGAGGGGAATTGTTCCCTGGTACACTGGCTGGCATTCACCCCTCAGAAAATTAGCAATCAGACATATTCCCTGCTGCTGTCACATTACTGTGCACAAGTTAACCACTGAGACTCCCACATAACAACAATGACAGTACTTTAGATGGACTTCACCGGGATGCCCTGAGGTTGTGAAGGTGCTACTTAAATGCAACTGTCCTCCGTTAACCTTCGGGAGGTTGAGGCTGATGAGAATCAGACAGTGTTTCTGTGGTACTCTGTCCCAAGCTCATCATTAATAGGGTTGGGGTCCATGCTGAGCTGGCTTGCGCAGAATTTGCAAAAGGGCTACATTCGGATGAACTTGTTTTAGTGGAATCATTGAAATTGACAGCGCAGACAAAGGCCAATCAGACCATTGCTAGTGCACTAGCCCATGCAAGAGTTATGTGTTAGTCCCATTTCTATTTTCAGATGCTCTAAATAGTTTGACTCTTTCCTTTTGCAAGCTATTCAGTATTCTGAGCCCAGAAAAACATTCCACATCCAAAATAGATTTTAACTTCTCTTAAAAAAAGGAGTAACATTTGCTTCCTCTGTCTCTGTTGTTTCAACATATGGCTTGACTCTACTTAACTGTTCCTAAATTGCTATGCAGTGGAAATAGTTTTTCACAATGTTGTTTGTCAAAATGATATTTAACTTTGTTAAATTTCCAACACAGGGAGGAATCAATTAAAAATACTCAGAAAAACAAATTGCATTTATGTAACACCTTCATGGTAAGAAAACATTCCAAGGTAATGTGAAATGGAAGATTCATTTGGCATCAAATACTAAAGGGAGGTATTTGGAAAGGTGAAATTAGCTTGGTTAAAGAGTTAGGATTTAAGGAGGATCTTTATGGAGGAGAGATAGGTGGACGATCTTAGGGAGGGAATTCCAGAGCTTGGGGCCCAGCAGCTGAAAGCACGGCTGCCAACAGTGGAGCGATTAAAACTGGGAATGTTCATAAGGTCAGAATTGGAGGCTTGTGGACCTGGAGGAGGTTACGGAGATGAGAAGGGATAAGATTTGTGAATCTGAGGTGTTATCAAACTGTGAAGCAATGCCAATCAGTGAGAACAGGGGTTGATGGGTAAGCGCAGCGTAGCTACTTGCTCGGTTAAAAACAGCCGAGCTTTTGATGAGCTGAAATTAATGGAGGCCTTGAAATTGTCAAAGCTCGAGTCTACAATGGTCTGTGTGGAGCTAGCTGATTTCAACTTGGGTAACTGATAAAATTGGCTCTTACCGGGGTAGTAGATCAAATTAGGGTTACTGCAAAGTTTTTTTTCATTCATGAGGTGTGGGTGTCACTGGCTAGAGCCAACATTTATTACCGATCAGGGCAGGGGTCAACCATATTGCTGTGCGTCTGGAGTCACATATACATCAGACCAGACCGGGTAAGGATGGCGGTTTCCTTCCCTAAAGGACGTTAGTGAACCAGATGGGTTTTTCCCTCAACAACCAATTCATGGTCATCATTAGACTCTTAATTCCATAAACCTGTTGAATTCCAATTCCACCACCTGCTGTGGTAGGATTCAAACCCAGGTCCCCAGAACATGAGGAGTGTGTCTTATTGCTCCCTTGCGTTGTGTACCGTGATGGGGATGATGGCTAGTAATGGCAGTGCCCTCCCTTTTTCAGAGTCGATGGTTGACCTGGAACAATTGCAGAAGAAGACGGTAAGAGCTGTTGCAGTCGCTGGTGACTTGTGATTTGAAACAGCACCAGTTGATTTTATTCATCGTCAACACAATCATTCCCTCTGGAAATTGGAAAAATTGACATTTCATCGCATCAATTGGCTCTGATTTCAAGGGGAGGTGGGGGTATATGTTAGGGAAGTCTATATTTATACAGGTGAGAGCACACCCTGGAGTACTGTGAGCTGTTTAGGTCCCCTTATTTACGGGGACACAGTGATAACGTCACTGGGTGAGTAAGCCAAGTGTTGAAATCCCACCCTGCCATCTGATGGAAATTGAAGTTTAATTCATTTATTTGTTTAATTGCCTGCAGTTATAAACTAGAGTAATGGTTATGGTAAAGGTATCATTGATGTAAAAATCCATCTGGTTTCCTAATGCCCTCCAGGGAAGGAAATCTGCCATCCTTACCCAGTCTGGCCTACAATTGAATCCAGACCCACAGCAATGTGGTTGACACTGAACTACCCTCTGAACATAGCACAGCCAGTGAGATGGAGGGTAAGACATTAGTGAAAATTACAACAATTTGGTAGGCACCAACGTTGAGATTAGCTCTTCAATTTCAGGTTGAAAGTTGTCCTCCACCTCCACCAACTAATGTAGTAGGATTCAAACCCGTGTCCCCAGAACATTACCTGGGACTCTAGATTAACGGTCCCACGATGATACCACTAGAATAGCATCTCCCCATAAAATGGGACTGTTGTTCATCATTGTCTAAACTTGGACCTACAGAAAGATCACCATGTGTTCAGAAGAGATGTCGATACCCATGAAACTATTTTCTATGCAAAGGGAAGAGGAGTTTAATGAGAATGTAACCAATGGGGAAGATTGTGTCATTGAACTGTCACTAAATTGTGGTGTTAGTCATCAAATCCCTTCACGTCAGTTGATGGAGATTGAGGACAACTTTGAACCTGAAATTGAAGAGCTAATCTCAACATTGGTGCCTACCAAATTGTTGTAATTTTCACTAATGTCTTTTAGGAAAGGGAATCTGCCTTCCTTACCTAGTCTGGCATACTTGTGACTCCAAACCCATAGCAATGTGGTTAACTCTCAACTGGAGCAGAGTCATAGAGTCATGCAGCACAGAAACAGACCCTTCGGTCCAACTCATCTGAGCCAACCAAACATCCCAATCTGACCTAGCATTCAGGATATATCCCTCTAAATCCTCCCTATTCATCAAACCTCCCTGTTTGAGGGACACAACGTGGTGGTTAACACTACAGCTTCACAGCACTAGGGATCCGGGTTCGATTCCACCCTCGGGCGACTGTCTGTGTGGAGTTTGCACATTCTCCCTGTGTCTGTGCGGGTTTCCTCTGGGTGCTCCGGTTTCCTCCCACAGTCCAAAGATATGGTGGTTGGGTGGATTGGCCAAGCTAAGTTGCCCTGCCATAGTAATTGCAGGGGATGGGGTGGGATGCTGTTCAGTGTGAACTTGATGGGCTGAATGGCCTCTTTGTGCTCTGAAGGGCTTCCATGTCAATGAGAGATGGATAACAAATGCTGACCTTTTTTTCTGAAAAAGGGTCCAGACCCGAAACGTCAGCTTGCCTGTTCCTCTGATGCTGCCTGGCCTGCTGTGTTCATCCAGCTCTACACTGTGTTATCTGTGACTCCAGCATCAGCAGTTCCTACTATCACTGACCTGGCCAGTGATGGCCGCATCCCACTGATTGGGGAAATAAATGCCTGGCCAGTTCCCAGTACGGAATGTTAGAATTAAGAGGTGGGACTTGTGGATTTTAGGTTTCCTGTGCTTTGTGTTTCAGAAGATAGTGACCATCGACCATATCAGGCAGATACACGGTGAAAAAGGTTCGGAACCAGCCTTTGTGCAGTCCATGCTCACTGACCAATGTCTCTAAAGGGAGTCCTGACATGAGGAGTGTGTTTTATTGTTCCCTTGCGTTGTGTACCGTGATGGGGATGATGGCTAGTAATGGCAG